CCTTCTGGTGTTATTTATAAAAGTCCTTAAATATCTTACTTACCAGGCCATTTTCAGAATGTTCTTGTCCATTTTAACATGAAACAAGCAGCATATTATTTGAACTCTGTGCTATATTGTGTCCTGTATGACTATTCACTGTTGCAAGACATTTTATGCTGCTTTTTTTCAATGCAGTGTGCTGAAAATGCAGTGCAATGCACAGCTCTTCCAGCCTCCAGTGCTCCGTGTTACTTTGTTGAGGCTGAAGATACTGACACGGCTGTAAACTTTTCTTTTGACTGATACAAAGTGTTTTGGGATTTTAAAATTTTCACGTGACTCGTTCGAATGGATTGCTTGCCTCTGCTAAGTTAATTCTCTCTCTTTTCTAGGTGCCAGAATAGCTGAATATTCCCAGCTTTATGACCAAATCGTCTTTAGAGAAAGTTCACCCAAGGTCCAAAAGGAAGCCTGGGCCACCCCTCAGGAGCCATCAGCCGGCAGGTATTCCACGCCCGTGGCTGCGTCTCCTCCCCGTTCCCAGGCTGCCAGTGAATACTCAAGAGCAGAAGATTGGCTTTTGCATTCTACGTACAGTAACGGCGAGCTGGCCGACTTCTCTCCATGGCCTGAATCCCAAGACCCAAAGTCCAAGAGTTCGTGTACAGAAGCTGGTACAAAAAGCAATTCCAGGCAGTTGCCATCAGCTGGCTCGGTGCCTTCCCTTCAGATTTCTAACCGTTTGCATGCCCCGGCGCAGAGGTGGAGCGCCATTATAAGCCAACCGAACAAAGAAAATTTACATCAAGATCAGATCTATAACTCCCTTGGGAGAAGAGTAAGCAATGTAAAACCACAGGCGTACAGCAGGTCGCAGTCGTCTTCCTCAATTGTGGTCAACAGGTCTGGAGAAGCAATCGTATATCCTAATGAAATGGACAAGAAAAAGCTCCATTCGAATAGGAACTTCCGATTCAACAGCCGTCAAACGCCAGGTGTTGCTTCGGGATGTGCGGGGCCTGATACGAGAAAGCAGATCCCTGAAAACTGTTCAGATATGATTCTGCAGGATTCTCAAAAGGTCCTGAGAGTGAACAGGGCCTCCCCTCTGACGGCACAGATGGCCACTCAGAACTATTTTTCTAATTTCAAAGATACTGAAGAAGAAGGGGATGATGATGACTATGTTGAAATAAAGTCTGAAGATGAGGGATCTGACTTGGAGACCTCTCAAAGCCAAACAAGGAAATCGGATCCCAAACTGTGTAACGCAGACGCTGCTCCTTCTGAAACACTCTGTGGCAAAACTCTCTCTTGTACTCCTGCAAAGCCCACCAGCAGCAAACATGCGCTTACCCCGTATCTGACTGCATATAGTGATTCAGATAAACTGAATGACTACCTGTGGAGAGTACCGTCTCCTAATCAGCAGAATATCGTCCAGTCTTTAAGGGAAAAGTTTCAGTGTCTCAGTTCAAGTAGCTTTGCTTGATGCTTTCAGTAATTTCTAGCTGTATTGCCTTACCATGACAGAGTATATACTAGGACAATCAGTACTGGCATCATGTATTTCTGTAATATTACACAATCAGGCATTGTATCACAGTAATATTGTAAATAGATGTTAAATGTATCTTTTTTTTTAAATGGTTTAGAATCCTGGAAGTGAAAAAGGCCACTGTGGCTGGGGTCTCACTCCGCAGTGCAGGTGGACTTCTCATCTCCTCTTTAACCTTTGCATCCCTTCCCTTGTCATACCCTTTGATTCTTACCATCGAACCAGGTGTGATGCCATTTACTTCTTAAAGCCTTTTATCGTGTGGAAACCTGAGTATTTGGACTTTTAAGTTGGTGACCAGTGTTCTGCATCCAAAATACCCCCATGATTACTCTGGTTTCGTATGGGAGCATTTAGCTGAGCAGCCACTCATGTGACTGTGCAGACTTCTGAGCAGGGCTCTGGTCATTACACCAACATGCTACGTATGCAATTGCACATACTTCTTGCACGTTACTTTTTGACAGACAGATTCCAAGTGTGTGGGACCAATGCATACACTACATTACTTCAGAACAGGCTTCTTATGTTTTAAACAAAATCTCGTCCTAGTGCTTGTGAGGGATGCCAGACTGATAGTTCTGTGTCTGGAGCTGCTTCTACTTTCTGTAACTGCATAGTGGGCAGAAGATGGGCAGTGACAGCTTTTTATGTAAATCTGTGGATGTGACACAGTCCTTGCCTGGAAGATGTTTTGGGCACTAGAAGTGGAGCTCGGCTGCTTGTGAAGATGGCTAGACTGAGTTTGGTACCCGCAGCGATGGTGGTGTTTGGGGCAGGCAGGCAAAATTTGAGCATCTTGTAGCTCAGAGTCCCGCAGTGGAAAGCCACTGGGTGGGAATTTGTCTGGTAGCTTTGTGTTATATGCAGTGGCCTGCAATGTATTCATTCGAGTCCTAAAGTCAGTGACCCCAAGAGAGAACGGGGCTTGGCCAGATGCTTGGGTGAAATATCAATCATGTGGCACGTTTGGCCCGTAGGGTGTTTCAACGATACTGCTGGTTGAGTGAGAAGCTGCTTTCCCCAGGGGAGTGTATCTCCCTTAGTAGGAAATTATCTTCCCTGGCAGAGAGAGGTAAAATACGTATTTTCTAAACCAGCCAGGGCTGAATTGAATCCAATTTATGTACAATGAAAGTAGCTTAAAAATGAGAAAACATTCCATTCTTTTGCAGATAATGTATAGAATAAATGCTGCCATTTACAACAAGAACAGGCTTTCCAATACGATGCACATTTACTCCCTTTCATCATCTTCGTTGCACAGCTTTGGTTTGTTACTTGAAAACATTGTACCTAAAGGAAAGCCTAAATATGTCTACACTGATCATCTTGTGTGACTCCTGTTCTTTTTTGGTGCTTAAATTCTTCAGATTACGTGGATAAAGCCAGTACTGAGTTAAACATATCACTAATTAAAGGAGTTTAATTGAAATACTATTTTTACTAATCACGTATCACTCCCCTCAGTTACAGAGCACTGTACTTCCAGAACAGCTGACTATTTACTACATTGGTTACCGTGAGGAAAACCTGAATTTATCAGTGTACAGCTAATTAGTTGTAGACTAAGAGTTAAGGACTTGAATTTGTTAGACCGGATTAAATTATTTCCCGCACGTATCTTGCATTGGCTAGGAATTGTTATTTGGCGGGCTGGTTGGTCATGGTACTTACTAGCTCGTACCACAGGGATGCTTGTTACAGTCCACTGTGATAGGACCCGCATCTGTCTAGTAAAACCCGACTGAGAAATAATGTTGTACATATTTAAGATGCCGTAGCGGAGCCCGTATTTATTTAATATAGCTTGTAAAGTATTGTAAATATGAATAGAAGTTAAATCTGTGCTTTACGTGCGCACGGCTAGATTTGTTTAAACGGCTTAGGGGAACGTTGTTTAACTCGCATCTCATGCAATCAGCGGAGTTGGGGGGCGGAGGGGAGGGGGGACACACCAAACCCAAACAAACAGAAAAAGGGACTTCTACGAGCGTGTAACTTCTCCCAGGGACCATTTCATACTATTTTTAATAAACGTTGAGTATGCAGAAGCTTCGTCATCCGTTCATGGGGGGCGTGGGAGGGGGGAGATGATGTTTGGGGGTGATTTGGGGTGGTTTGGCGTTGGGTCCCGTCCCGTCCCGTCCCGTCCCCCCCTGTCTTGTCTTGTCTTGTCTTGTCTCGTCTCGTCCCGTCCCGTCCCTTCTCTTCCCTCGTGTCTTCATAGCTGTTTTTTTAACTAGGCAGGGTTTTATTATCT